TTTGGTCTCTTGGTGCGACGGCGTTTTTCATGAGGTCTTCGTGGTCGATATTTATATTCTGGATACTTCTTCATGTGTTCCATTTTAGCAGCGTCGGCCATTCGTTGGAACTTTAATTTCTCTTCTAAGGGCTCCTTGTGCCACATTTCCCCTACTTGTTTGGATACTTCATTGTTTGATATTCCCTCGTTGTTTTTTACTATGTCAGGTTGCTTTGAGCGGCGGTATAAGATAAAGGCATTTGGGGGTCTCGGGGGCTTCTTTGGTTTTTGAGCTTTAGCGACCGCTCCCGCCCGCTGGGTCGGTGCTGAAGTTCTAGCCAACACTAATTGTGGAAAGCGAACATCGGATGTGGTGGGATTGGATTGATTACTTATGGTTGGAACAATGTGTGGGATGGATGCCTTGGACTTATTGCTAACGACGACGACCGGCGTTGTCGCTTGCTGAATCTTTAGTTGTTGCTGTTTAAGAAGCTGTTGTTGTAAATTTTTGCCATTTTGGAGTAGATTTGCAACCGGTTGTAGCGGAGAATCGCGTGGAACTAGGACTGGTTCGTATCCTTCGGGTATGAAATATTGTGTCCCCTTTCGTTGCTCATATAAACTGATAATCTCATCATGAGGAATGAACTGAAAGGTCGGAGGCTTCGTTGTCGTTTCTGAACCTTTATTAACAATTCTTGACGATGGTAAGTAATGTGAGTTAACGTTTCTTTGTGATATGTATTGCATGTTTAAACTCTTTTTATCGTCGTTCATTTTCGTGATATTTGCTTTTTTTTTTTTTGAAAGGATATATATATACAAATTATTTAAAAGCTCGTTCTGTTTTTTGTTTATAAAGTAGTTTGTTGTAAGCCAAAGGTATACTAGCTACCTTGTTTTACGCTAAACTATAATGGGAGACACAAGAAAAAAAAAAGGTAAGAAAGTAAGAAAGGTTTTTTTTTTAAAAGGGGAAAATAGTGGCCGTTGAAAGAGAATAAAAGAAATAGAAAATAGAAATAGAAAAATGATACAAGAGAAAGATTTTTTTTGAGTTTTTTTTTAAAAAACTGAAAAAAAAAAAGAAAATCAGAAAAGATGCCGGAAATTTAAGCTTATATATATATAAAAGTTTTTTTGATTTCAAAAAGATTAAAAATATATATATATAGATAAATATAGATATATAGAGTAATGAAAATAAAAAGTTCGGGTTCAAACAAAAAAAAAAAAAAATTTCAGTGCTTTGGGGATAGTACCTAAAATAGATTAGGGTGATCTTTTTTTTTTTTTTTTCAAGTCAGATATTATATATTTTTTTTTTTTTCTTGCTTTTTTTTGCGTCCAGATGAATTTGAGTCCAAGGAGGAATTTTTGTACTTATATTTAAACGGATTTCCAAATCTTGTATTTCAATAATTCCCCAAATTCGTAATTTTGTGTTTCCAGAAATTACGGTCGATCGTTTTTTTTTCTTTTCATATATTTATGTTAATGTTACTTTGGTTACTTTAAATAATAATATATGTATTTAAAAATTTTTTTTTTTTTATAAATACACAATAACAATATGTATATATAAAAAAAAATTTGATATATTAAATATTATATATGATAAAAAAAAAAAAAATATATATTAATAAAAAAATTTTTTTGCAATAAAAATTCTGTAGAACATTCTCATTTTGGTGAAATTGAATTGAATATTTTAAAACAAAAAAAAAAATTGATTTTTTTTTTATTTATACAAAAATTAAGTAGGTAATAAAATTTAACAACTATAATGTCCCTTCAATCGTTTCAATTCAATTGAAAAAAAAAAAAATTTTTTTTGAAACCATTTGAATAATAGTTTAAATTAAATTCAAAATAAATAAAAAAAAAAAACTAGTATATTATAAAAAAAAAATTTTTTTTTTTTACTAAACGATTATAGAACATATTTCTATGAATATATGGACGAAAAGTCGCAATAAATTATTAAGATAAGAAATTTAAAAAATGAAACAAAAGATAACGGTTCAACGTGAAGAAAAACGTAATCCTATGTAATTCTAAAAATAAACTAATCAGATAGCGTTTATTACATACGATTTTCTTGTAATAAATTACCAAATTTAAATCAATATTAATAATCTTTAACAACATTCCGAGATTTATAATCTTAATTGTCTCAAAAAGAGCGACTTTCAAAGCACAAATGCGTATCACACTTATTAAGTAATAAAACAAAAAAATCTATATTCTTTTCTTAAATCTTCGTTCGCCTAAAAATTCTAATACATGTCATTAATGTGTGTTGTAGGTTAAAATCACAAGATAAAATAACTCAGCTTTATGCAGGTTTTTTTTGATGCATTCACGAAAAACTTAAAAATAAGATCGCTGTAGTGCGACATTAAATTAGAAGTCGGGAATGAGAAAATTGTCTTTTGAAGGATTTTGGTGGTATCATTCTGAAAAATTAGGGATCTTTTGTAGCAGCAGCTGATAAGGCCATCAAAGGTCATTAGACCGACACAAATAAAATTGCCTTTTTTTAAAAAAAAAATTTTCAAATTTATTTCAAATTTGGGAATAATAAAATTAAAATTAAAAGCGAAAGCACAATTCATGACCACTTTGGTATACAAAATGTAATCGTACTTGCTTCCCCAATTTTTTTTTTTCTTCCCTCTATTTTTTTTTTTTTTTTTTACAAATAACCGTTTTTTTTTTTTTCCTTGACAACTCAAATTCATCAAAAAAAAATGAAGCGCATAACAATGCATACATTATGTTTAAATGTCATGTGACTTTCTGTGGTTCCCTTTTTTTATACACTAAAAAAGTCGTTTTTGTCCGAACATCACTACTCGTGTGATTTGTTTACGCGTCGACAATTGTTCATTTGCCTTTGTCTTTACAGCGTGTAATTCCTTTAACGCTTTAATTAAATAAATTTGTTTTCATTGCCATTTCTTGAAATCTAAACTTTAATTATATTCTTGGCCTTTCCATATTCAGTATTTCTCTATGACTATAATGTGAATGAAAATTTAATAATGCAACAAACCATCATTGTATTTTGCGTTTTATTGTGCAAAATCAAAAACGTATGTTTGCCATTCATTCCATACAAATGATGATGATTTCATCAAGGATGCTAGCATTGACCGACCATTTGTTATTTACATAACATAATCATCCAAGAAAAGTAAAGAAAGAACTTGGACATTTAATGACCCTGGTTTTGCAATGTTAATGAATTGATTTGTTTGTCCCCCTCGTACCGTTATTTAACGATTCGTTTGCCGCGTTCGCCGCCGAGTCAAGAAATATGCGCCATGCTGCGAAGAAACGTGCTACGCCACATAATGGGTTGAAACACAACAATTTAATTAAATGATTAAGAATTAGAATCAATATCGGAAATCGGATCATTGATATTTTTTATAAATCGGTTAAATCTTAAAACCGTCCGGGATGCTTAATTATTAATATTTACGGGTTTGATGTACTGTAGATAGCATAATAACTAATAACTTGATGAGTTTTCAAACGGGAAAAACGTATTTGTAAAATAAAGCACAAAAAAATTTAAAGTTGAAACGTGATAAATTAATCATTCACAAATTAAGGTAGTTGACTTTGTAATGTGATCAAGCGACATGAATTTTTTATTTTCCCCTTTTAATCTACAGTTTAAAGTTAATTCTCCTTTTTCACGAATAAAATGACTTAATCATATGCTCCTTTCTCTTTCCTCATTAATCCAGGCGCAAGAAAGGGTAGTAACAAACAAAACCATAATCGGGAAAGTTCAAGTAAAGCATGTTAAAGAAGTCATATTACTTGTATTCAAACTTGTAACAAATTCAAAAGAAAGTTTCGTTTTATTTACCTAATATCCGATAGCGCATACCTTAAAATGAAACAAGCAAAGCAAGCGGTCTAAAGCAACAACAATTGACTTTTATGTCATTGTGTTTACGCTTCTAGCCTTCTGTAGGAAATGATTGGGTTACAAATTTCGTTTTCAAAGTTATTTTAAACTTTTTGTGTAAAATAAAAAAAAAAAAAAATGAGAACGATTTAAGATAGCTTTGGAGATATTTGTGATTACCTTTCCGTTAATGGGTGTTTTTTTTTTTTTTGTAAATAAATCCGTCATTCAATGTCATGCAATGTGATTACGAGTCAGTGATTGTAAACCGAAATTTTCATGAATAAAAAAAAAAGCCGGCTATACGCGAAAATGTTTGGCATAAATTTTACAATAAATAAGTTCGATGATTTTTATCTCACATATCGTGAACTTTTGTTTAGGGAAAATAAAAGAATAAATATAGAAATAAAAAAAGGGGTATGAATGCAAAAGATTTCATTTAATTCGTTTCAAGGTACGTTGATTTCTAGAGATTTTTTTTTTATTATAGACATTTAAGGTTATCATTTAAATCTTAATTTACTTGTTTATTTATTTTCTTTATTTAATTTCCCTATCAGATAAATTTATTTTTATATAATTCCTTGGAGGGGGGAAAAAAAAATTTACCGTGACGCTCTTTTTCTTTTTGCTTGAAAGAATTTCATTGTCAATATTACCGTATTAAATCAAAAATTTCACAAGCAGGCACTTAATTGGTTAAGAATAAATTAATTTATATAAATACATAAATGGTAAATAAGGGTTTCGAAAATCTTAAAATATTAGTAACCGCAGCTTATCACAATGTGAATTGAATACAATGTTACCGTTATCGTAAATTAAAAAATATTTTTCGGCCATATTTCAAACTTATAAGTTTGTATCATGATATAATATTTAGGGTAAGAATAAACTGTCAGAATGAAAGAACACATACATGGGAGGGATAATCATTCAAACTTATTTGTTAATTACCTTTCGTAATTGAACTCCTCTTGCTACCTTTAAACGTAAATTTATTCAATGTACCGTACATGTTTTTCTCTGAGTCAAATCTGAGCTCTTTGGTTTAATAAACGTAACGAATAGAAATGTTTACAAAATCAATGTGGTAACGACCAAAAGTTTATTATGACAATGGGTATATTATCTCTTGCAAAGGATTTCGGAGTATGAGCATCCTTTGGTCTTGATTGGCCCACATGATGTAAGGTTGCATGATGATTTGACGTGCAAAGACTTGGAAACGTTTGATGAAGGTTTGATGTCATCTCGCTAATCGTATCGATTTGAACTTGTCCGTGTGGCAATGGTGAGATGTCGGATTTCTATAAGAACCGTTTGGTACATTAAATAGTGATGTGATGACGAATTCGGATTTCGATTTACGAATTCGGCTCATACGATGAAACAAATGTTGATAATCATCTTTTTTTTAAGCAACGCATGCATATAATTGGATTTCCATATGTTTGCTATAAGGATTATAAAAGTAATTTCCTAGTTGGATATGAGATTTGACAGTTCCGACCCTAAAATGTAATTATTGTAAGATTGATAATGACAATATGTTTTTTTCTTTATTTTTTTTTTTCCGCCACAAGCGCATACAAAACCACTCTTTCTAGAAGGTTAAATGGCTAAAAGCGCCGATTTGCCAAGCCTCCTCTACTATACAACTACCTTACCTCAGCGGTGATAATGCGCCTCAACATTGTTATCTCGAGTATCTGAAACAACGAACGATCATAATCTTTTAGAAGAAGAATGAAGTTTTTGAGGGTTTGGAAAAATTGAATAATGATTGTCATTTTTTGATTGTTTTCGGATGTGTAATGAATAATCAAAAAAAAAAAAAAAGCTCACACATAATAATCACGTAAATGTGCATAAGGATAAACGTGAAAATAAGAACAGAATTCGTGATCAGTTCCTATAAAACTCTCATATCTAAGTTATAAAATAAATTTAGGTATACTTTTTTTCTAAATTAATTATATTTATGTGATTCAATCAGATGCATGACAAAGTATTACGTTGATAAGAAATAGCAAACAAATAATTAAATTTGATTTCATATTTCCTAAATATTCTGTTCATTTAATTTTATTTATTAATTTTTTGTACATGATAAATTCAAAACTAGTTTTTAATCCTGTTCTTTCTTTTGCTCGTGAATGTTTCCTTTTTGTTCATGCATAAATGTACCTCACTGATATTAGAGGATAAACGTTTAAATTATTAATCGGATAATGATATTTAATGAAAGACAAAGAATCATCTTGTAATGATTTTGATTCGTTCTCCTGCTATGTTCTAATTTCCTTGTTAGTAACTTTCATACCAAGAACTTATCTTTTTGCATCCTTCGCGCATCCTTCTGTAACTTTCCAAATTCGAAAGCCTCAAGATAAATCTTTTTTGTTTGTTCCATTGAAAAGGGAGACCTGAGTTAAAACGCACTCCCTTCTTTGATTTTACCAAACTATCTTTACCCATAAAGGTCAGTTGAGAATAAGGAGAAAGATTTTTACTTTGATACGGGCCAAAAATTTCTCACGCGAATGTACACAACGCGAATCTCTCTCTTTTTTTTTTTTTTTTGCCTCTGGGAACATCTTTTTATCAATCTTAAAGGCGCAGATAAATGAATTGCAAATTACATCTTTTAACCTCCCTAGATTCTTCTATTGAGATCTTTCTAAAAAGGAATCATTTTTTTTTTCCTTGTTGCCCCTTTTCTTCCCTAATCTCACAAGGAAGAATCTATTTTAGTATATGCCTTAACGATTAAATAAAAGTCCATTCCTTACTTTGACTTTTCATTGGAAGTATTGCTTTGATCCTTTGGTTAGATTATGAAATATGGAATAAACATTACTAACTTAATTTTCATTATCCGACCACTCAGCATATAGTTCGGTTTATTACAAATCAAATTTTTTATTAAAATAGTTGCTTTGTCGACTCTTTATGACCTTTCATTGTAACAAACAATTTAAAATAGTTAATTCATGCATCTCGTACATGGTCTTTTTTTTAGTCTCCGTGAAAGTTCCGTCATTATTGCATGATTATTTAATAGATTAGGTTTTATGTTAATTTACTGATGGATCAATGATAAAATAATCATAAAACATTTATCGGACCAGTCAGAAATGAGATTTAAAGAATAAATTAAATCATAAGACATTGGTAAAACAACAAATAAATGAATCATAATTCGCGTTTGGCGTAGCACGCGTCACAAGGTTGACCGTATTTATTCATTAACGCTTACGGAAATATCACGGAATACCATGGAAATTGAATCTCCAATGGCATTTTTGATGTAAAGGTCACCATTTATGGTAAAGCTTCGGTATATGGTAACTTTGGACATATTGAAAGAATTTTTTGGTCATACAAATAAAGAAAAATTTTGATACAATGATTCGGAAATATCCAACTTTGGGAAATTGAGAATGGATGTCTAGGTAAACGTTGCGCACAAAAAGAAAAAGAAGAAAAAAAAAAAAAAAAAGGAAAAAAAAAAGAAAAAGATTAATTCATAACATGCATGTAATTTATGTTAGCATTCATGCAAGGGACATATGGCCATATTGTTAATCTACATAACCTACATATTCACAGAATAAGGGATCAACATTATTGTAAAAAAATTGAAGATCCAAATTGCAATAGCATTAATAGCATTGACGATCATGCTAACATGCTAATGCTAAAAAAAGAATGAATGGAAATAGTGCATTGTAAAAATTGTAAAAGATCCTTTTATTTCCCATATACAGTAATTATGTAATACAAAATTTTTTCAGTAGATTTTGATTATTTTAACAATATAGATTAATACAATATGACTAGCGAAAGATAACAAGATGAATGAAATATAAAATATAAATAAAGGTTACATCAATAAAATGTATTGATATGTTAGAAATAACCGATCAAGTGTGAACTATGGGACATGTGGAAAGTCTTACTTGCTTCCTTTAGATATATAGGACCATTCTCATTTAATGATTAAGTGAAACAGACCAAGCCCTTAAAACTTTTTAAATGAGAATCAAATGTTAATTTTCCATTTATTCCAAGAAGGAAAAAACGAGTGAATAACTCTATTTTCCCCCATTTATTGATTCGAGAATAAAAACGCCGAGAAAAAAAAAAAGATGTAACCTCGCAGCAGACACCCCAATCAGTTCTGTTTTATTACTCTCTCTCCTGCCTAATTCTTTTCTTCTTTATCGCATTATTCCGCTCCGTAATTCCCTCTTTTAGGTTTTCAAAAAAAAAAAATTTACTCATTAAACTCCGAGTCAAAAAAGGCAACCCCTAATGTATGGTTACTAATTTGTCACTTTTTTACAAATAAAGATTTATAAACGTAACGAATGAAAATTGACAAGTAAATTTACTTTTTTATATTTCATTCATCCCATTTTCGAAGAAATTATATTGAATGATTCAAAGATCAGCTCATTTCAGAGAGTATTGACGTTACCGATTATCATTACATATTTGAAATTACCTGCATTAATTTTATTTTTTATTAATTAAAAGTTTAAAAAAAAAAAAAAAAAAGGATAACAAATAAAAATAAATTCAAGTTGGAAATGATTGCGAAATTATTTTGTTCCATTCTAGTCGCGTTAATTCTTTTTTTCTTAAATTTATTTGGTAATTTAATTTAATTTTTTTTTTTTGAAACACGATTTAATTTATTTATAGAAATTACGGAATATTCTAAAGTACCTAACCTAGTTTTTTTTTTTTTTTTTGACAACCTGCACAAAATTAATGTTGGAAACTATACTCTTGTTTCTCATATATTACATTACTTAATTACTTTTTTTTTTTTTCCTTTTAATTTAACCAAAATAATTTAACAAATTATTCCACTGGGTAATTCCGCTTCGGTATAAATTAATATTCCAAATATAATATTATGATAAATTAAAAATGCACCGGACAGAAATTATTTTTATGACCGTGCGAAAAAAATTTTATATATCATCAGAGTTTAATTTATAGTACAAACACCATTAAATAATCACAAGGTTGATTTTCTTTTCTTTACACAAATTGTGACGGAGAGAAAGTATTGATTTGATCCTTTTAACACAAATAAAAAATAATTCAATTTTGCTCATACAAAAATGAACGCGCGGAATAACTTTACCTCCATAACTTATATTCATATAAATATCAATGACAAATTATGCATAAATTGAAAATAAGCCAATGGATTGTTTTTCTAAATGTGTATGCTTCTTTTAAACCGTATGCCGTATGTACCGTATGTAGATATTTATGATTTAGTGTGGCATAAATTTTTGGAAGATCCGCGCAATTTGATAAGTCTTTTCGTTCGTTACGTTACCTAATTTTCAAATTCAATGATAGGAATTTTATTTATTATGATGAACAATTCAATTGAAAACAATCATTGTTTAAGTACGTTTAAAGGTTATGTTACGTGACTTAATTCTATTAAAGTTGTACAACAAATTTAACTCGTTTTGTTTAACTCAATTCGATAACGTGATTAAAAAGTAATTTTAATAATATACAAAAATAAATAAATATATTTTTTTTTAATTCTTTCAACGAATCAGCATAAAAAAGATTATATACTATTATTATATTTAAACCATGATCTAACCAAATTATATATAAAATCACTAACTATTAAAGAATGGCATTAACCATGAATATAAAAAAAAAATTGTAATACAGAAAAATATACGCATCACGTGTTAAAAATAATAATTTTGAACGCAGTAACTCTAATTAAATCGCGAATATTTCTCATCTTTCTAGTCCTCATCATCTTCATCATGGTAACCATGCTTCCTAATTTCAGCCAATTTTCTTCTAGCATTGGTTAATTCTTTTTCAAGTTTCAAGATTTCTACTTGCTGTTCCATCTCAGTAACCTTATATTCATGTCGTGTTAATTTGGAATAATCAATTGCAGCTTCATTCTGTTCAAACTGTTTAGCGGCAATAGTTTTCACGGCTTTAACAAGAGCTTTACATGCTTCCGTAACTGCTTTAGAAGCCGTTTCTAGGCGATCTTGTGTCTTTGACATAAAGTCGGCTTTAACTCTAGAAGCAGCGACAAGTTGGGCCGTAGCTGCTGCTACTTCATTAGAGGCTACAATAAGTTGTTCAAGATTATGAGTTTTATGAATAACACCATCCGCAGTCTCTATGAGAAGGTTAGTAGCTAATGCAATTGCTTTGGCAGCTGATATAAGACCTTCTGTCCACCTATTATTCTTTTTGTAAAAAGCGGCATGACTACTTGTTCCACGGCCTTGTGCGACAATTTCTTCTTGTGAATCAGTGGCACACTTTATTAGATTGGCAATTGCATTCGTTACTGCCAATGCAGATTCCAAAATTGCATCATGAACGTTTAATTCATGTGCACTAAGTCCTAAGTCACGAGGTCGTGACATTAAAGTTTGAATCCTTTCCATAGCCGCTTTAATAACTTGAGCAGCGTGTAACATCTCTTGTTCAACAAGGTTACCTATTTCGCCATCAGCCTTTTTAGTAACGTCCAAAGTATGTCTTAATAGACCTTCGGTTACTTTGGACAATTTTTGCAAAGCCGTCTGAACATCCATATCGCTCTGTAAAACTATATCAGTCCTTTTTGAAAGAGATAAATCGTCAAGTTTGAAGGATTGAACATTCAACAAGAACTTCTGAGACATATTTGCAGCTATTTTGGCTATTCCAACAATTTCTTCCGATATTTCATCATCTTCATCGGCTAAGCGCGTAATACCCTTCGCATTCACCAATACATCCGCAATTGCTTGTGAGAAATTAGTTGCACTTTTAATTACTTCGGTATGATTGTTTGTTCTGCTGCTTTTCAAAAACTTTTGAAAGGCGTAAGAAAATTCAGAGCATTCTGTTGTTGCCTTTTCAATCATTGATAATGTGTACTCTGGTGTAGCATTTTGATTGCCGGTTTGCATTGGTGACTCCAGCTCGTAAAGACTATCATCAATCTTTTGTATACATGTTTGAAATATACTATCTGTCAATTTGTGATTAATAATTTATTTTGTAAGTATTCGCTTGTATAATATACAAAGGAAAAAATTATATTAGAACAATAATTACCTAGAATTTCATTCAAGTCTTTAAGATGATCAAACAATAAATTATCAATTCTAGCCTGATATCTTTCAGCTTCTGTTGTTGACTATGTGTAATCATAAAATATATAAGCTATGATTATAAGAATTACGATTACTTTTTCATTATATTCGAACCTGTTGCATTTGTGCTACTAATGTCATACTTTGATCCACAGCTGATTGCATGATTGCTATTTCATCATCTTTTTCCTAGATTGACAAATTCAAAGGTATAAACAAGATATGTGATTTGGATTTACAAGATAATTAAATCCATACCTGAGCGACGCGTTCAATATCGTTTTTCTTTTCTTCTAATTGCCTCAATAAATCATCCACAAATGATTGTTTAGACTATTTAAATATTTGATAGACAAATTTTTTTTTAAAAAAAAAATTAAAATGTATATCAAAAAACATATATTTAACATCAAATACCCTTAGTGAATCTTCCAATTCTTGTTTCTCCTTATTAAATCTGGACATTAATGAGCTAATTTCGTTATTCTTTGATCTGGACAGTTCTTCGACTCGAGAATTAGCCTCGTTAAGATCTCGCTTAGCTCTTTCTAAATCTTCACGTTGGCTCTAAGAAACATGTATTATATATGTAGTAAGTTAAGATTTAAAAAATAATATATAAAGACGTTTTATATTCTATTATATTCATGAATTATTGAGATCACAAAGTGCTAAAGTACGTGGTAATAAACTCCCTCCCCTTACAAAAATACATCTAAATGAATCTTATAAGTTGGGTTTATTCATCTACCCAAGTTTGAATTACATAAGAAACCTTATAACAAAACCACCCATTGCGTTTAGGCGAATATACCCATATTCTAAAATTAATAAAATAATTACACTCTTTAGCCTATCCAATTCATGTCGAGAACGGTCTCGCTCTCTTATCATGTCAGCTAATTCCAAATTTTTAGCACGCATGTCCCTTTCCATTCTCTCCATTTTGTCAATGGCCTCTTGCGCTGAATTTGCTTTGAGTTGCGCATTCTTAAACTTATTGATTAATTCAAGATGCTCTTGACGGAGTTGAGAATATAACTTTGCCAAAGCTTCATATTTATTTCTCCACATTAATAATTGATCTAAAATAAAATGTAAAGACTTTAATAAAATTTCATGATTATTAAGAATTATGTAATCAATAATATACCTTGTAAGTTCTTTAACATTTCATCTTTAGATTTAATTTGTTGTTGCGCATGAAGATTAAGCTGGCTCATTTCATTTTCAAGACCTTTAACTCTCTATGACAAATATATCAAGTAAAAATCGTATCATTAATTTTATGTTCGAATCGTTTTGAAATTAATTATCAAAATAACGAATTATTTAAATACCCTGTCATACTGTTCCAGCATCATTTGACCACGTTCAAAATTATTCTTCATATTTAACAATTCCCTTTCCAATTCAGCTACTCTACCCTCTGCATGCCTTTGCATTTGTTCTCTCATTAATTGTTCTCTAGCTAATCTTTCTCGCTCTTGTTGTATTCGTTGCTGTTCCTCCAATTCTCTTTGTCTTTGAAGCTCCATCATGCGCTGAGATTGAAGTTCCATTTCACGCTTCTGCGCAAGTTGCTTCTGCTGTTCTTCATACTGTAATCTCTGCCGTTCTAGCTCTTGTTGTTTTTGAGCTTCATTTTCTTTCCAGAACTCTGTTATAGGTTCTGGATCTGAAAATGAAGACGATGCAGATGATTTTGTTTGAAGATGTTTAGTCGAAGAACCGCTATCAATCAAACTTGGTGGGTCCTTTTAATTCACAATATAAATTAGAATAATGTATTATAATAAATTGTTACATTAAAAAAAATAAACAAAGTACCTGAGGTAATTTAGGAACAGTAATTAAACTTGTCAAATATTTTAAATTAGAACACTCATAGTAAAATTTAATTAGACCATAATGCTGAGCATTATATCGAGTTCTAAGCGGAGTTAAAGCATCGATAGCCTCTGTACGACGATGCATAGCTCGAAGCATATTAGTCAAAAATTTGTATATGGCATGACTCTCTTCAACTAATGGTACGAGCGCAGCAATACGGCATTCGTTGTTCGATGATTGACGAAAATGAGCAAAAACTAATTTTTGAAATTGATCAATTTGATCTTGTAAAGTCATCAATTCACTAATCGTTTCGTATCTATAAAATTATCTCAATTAAAGATAGGCCATTTGAGATATACTAAGTTTAGAATAGCAATATACAACAAACCCTTCATTAGGATCATCTACATTTTTCAAACTAATGTAATCCTCATAATCAAAATTCCCATTAAATTCTGGATGATGTCTGTGATAAGTTAATTTTGCTCTAAGGAAATTAACGTATTCCCTAATAAGAGTACCATATCCTATTAATTTAATTTTTGATTAATTAATTAGGTGAATTATTATATTGTTATTGTTAACAGTTTAATTGCTCACCTCGCATACCATCCCCCG